TGATTGATTTTTTTAATCTTATCCACGAAAAAGAATGTGTCACCCACGCATGTTAAATCACGCAAATTCAGTCGTATACGGGTTATTGATACTAGCTCAGAATCTAGCCAGGAAGTTGATTAGAACTTGCCGATTTTAGGTTACCGTAGTACGCAATATTGTCACAAGTTGTTGAACTTTTGCGAGTTATCGATTGTTTGAATTTCATTTTTGGTTTACAAGCTTATGTATCCGATGTGAGTTGTAAAATTGGATTTGTGTGTGGTTGCAAACTTTTATTAAAATATTGAATATTAACATCATCGTGATTGTTCTTTTTATTTTTTATAAATTTTCTCAAAGCAAACGAAAGTAGTTCCAGGAATTTTTTTGTTCATTGGACCTATCTGTTGCTATTGACGACGGTCCGTACATGGCTCGCTGGACCTCAAAAATCCCTGGATGTTCCTATTCTAAAGTGTGTGTTTGATTGACAGGCGGATGAAGGTATGTAATAATGTCTAAAACAATATTTCCTTATAATTTGGTCATCTTTATGTGGTTATATTTTAAGAAAGAAATGTACAAAATCACAATTATTGCCGCTTTAATCATGGTTAGAGGTAATGGAATGTATGAAAAAACGAAGTGAATGACGGCAAAAGTCAATTTGTTATTATATGGAAAATTAATTTTATTTCAACAAACTATATATTTCATATAATTTTTGTATCAACACCCGTGTCTATACTACGGTGTATACATGTAAATTAACGATGATGGCAGCACACGTAAACTTGAAGCCAATGCACATATCATGATGTACATATTGTCTATGTTTTGTAATATACGGATACTTTATATTGAGGGCTAAAGTAGACTGTAATTTAACTTGTTATACGCATGCGTGAAGTTATTATTCGTTCAACTTCAGTGATTGTAAATATAGACAAGAGTTATGACTACAAGACCTATACAAAGGTCAATTCTTTATTTAAATATGAATTTCGAAATCATCGTTTCCATGGTTCTCTTAAAGTAAACATTGATATTTGAACCAGTTCGCTGGTCTTTACAATCTTGTGAGTCCCTCATACGGCAGTATACAGTCTGCTGTGGTCGAATACCAGGTACGTATCTTACGTTGTCATCACACGACAGTCCGCTGATATCATGTGATTATTACCGTCAGATAGGACAGCGGGGAAATGTGTCGTTTGAACATTTATTTTAATATCAGTCATGTTGGAAATAATGTTTCTTTTAACTTCGATGTTAAAATTGGTTCAATCAATTGACATTTGATGATCGGTTGAATTGATTCTCACCAACACGAGATGGACACTATGCGAAGCTAAGTTAAAAATGTCCGTTGATTTAAACGAGATCTCGACAGACCCGTATCGCCGACAGGCCTTCCAATATTTACCCTACAGCATCGTCATTGGCTCGCTGGGTGCATTTGAACAAGATTTCGACAGAATCCCTTCGCCTTAGAATATTACACAGTGGTCTTAAAGGTTTAAATGCGGCATTTACTGCAAACGAGACATGCGCGATGTTGAGTGGGTATAACTGCTTAGTAGGGCGTGGCATGTGTAGATATAAATTGGGGGTGGGAGATGAGGGGTATTGAATATGGAGTTAATGAATAGAGAATGTTCTCGTCTATGTGTTCTTATACATAAATAATCAACAAAATATATATTCCAACATTTATTAAATATTGTTTTAAAAACTTACAGCCATGTACTTTTACATGGCAACTCATTATCGAATGTTGGATCTTTTGGATCTGGTTAATATTAACGATAGTTTATGTTATGATTCAAGGTGCGTACGTTAGTCACGTGTCTGCACTAAAGGTCAATGTAGACTCCCCGTATTGCACGTAAACAGGTTATTACAGACGATTTCGATTTTAAGATTTTTCGGATAAGATTTCGCATGAGCCGTATAAAATAAAATAAAGTCCGTATGATGATCTAACGGGGGGGGGGGATTCGGTGAGTGGTTTTCTACAGAGACATAGTTGGAATACAACTCAAATCGTACCATGTTTTATTAGCTCTATAGTTATACATTTACTAAAAGACAAGCACTAACTTAACTACTTAGTTATTCAAACCATCAACATAACAAATACTTTATTATTTACAATCCATAAAAGAATTGTAATTTCTTTACGGCTATAACAAATTATCATTATACATTGTCAATGTTAATGTATAGTGCGATGTGTCTGTATTTCAATTCATAAAAATAGTAATAGCATAAATATACAGCACAAAGTGTTTCGTAATAATATGATAACTATGGTTACTGTGGTAACCGTGATGTTTTTACTTGAATAGGCTCGCAATTCACCGAACTGATAAACCAATAAATATGACCACGGAGACTGAAGTAGTGAGTATACAATATTATTTATTATAGTTTGTCACGAATGCTTGAGTAAACAATAAGTTACGATTGCAACTAACAACACCCTATTTATACACACGGGTGAGTTGAATACACTATGGGTAAAATGAATGGCGGCCAGAGTACATTGTGTGTATCCAGTCTTGAGGCCCTAACCGTTTGTATGTTATAGGGTATAGCATATTCTTTCTATGGCAATTCATTGTGTATTATTCCCAGCCGTAGTCGTTGCTAAAAATGAGCTGTCAGGTGGAGACAAATGAAAGATTAGTTATATATTAGTAGCGTCGAATACGTGATAAAAAAAGATTGAAAATCGAGGCGGCAAAGTCAACGCTGCAATGGATCAACGTGTGTTTAGGTGGTGGTCGCTATAAAGTAAGTGATGCAATGGCAAGACAAAATTAAACGTGGTTCCAGCAAAGTCTATCAAAATGGTTTGACGTGTGTATGATATAACATGTTAATTTTCAGAGCTTTTGTTACAAAAATGAAAAACATCTGAATTGATGATTTTGATGATGTCATTCGTGAAAATACATTGAAATCATGTTTTGCTGTTGTAAATAGTTTAATTAAATAGTATTAATTTCATATATTTAGTTTGTCGCAATTACTAGAAATACAGATTAAGCGTATACACCGTGTTTAGTAATATAAGTGTTTCATCATTGACCAGTAAGGGAAGGATAATTTAGTCGGACGTTGCTCAAAATTTAATGTCGGGAAGCTGTATTATGATTCGTATCCAACAGGTACAACTACAGCCAGAAGCTGGTAAATGGAGTGGCGACCCACCGCCACAGTCACTCGCCTGTCCACCGGGATTGGAATACTTGACACAAATTGATCAATTGTTGATACATCAACAAGTGGAATTATTGGAAGGTACTTTTCACAGTCGTACTTTGTGTCACGTGACTTAGCCCGGAAGTCGATATACATTAGTATCTACATAATATAATAATTTCTTTTCGCAGCTATCACAGGATGGGAAACTAAAAACAAATACCAGATCAAGAATAGTGTTGGCCAACAAATTTATTTCGCACGTGAAGGTAAATAAGACCTCTTCTATTTGTGACTCACATCCAGCATGTGTGCCATGAATAATCTAAGTTTCACTTCAAACTCAGTTTATTTATATTTCATTTAACTGTATATATTTGCTCCAGAAACTGGATTGTGCATGCGTTTATGCTGTGGGCCTGCGAGAGGCTTCCAGATTCACATCACTGATAATGCCGGCAATGTGAGTATAGTATTAACAAACACACATATCTGTGCCACGTTAGGCCTAACTTGAAATGGTACTTCTGTTTTTTTTCATCTTTACGAGGATGTGCGCAATAATGGCGAGACGTATTCCAGCTATTATATAAACAAACATCCACGTCCGAGCACTGTTATCACCGCGTAATAATGGGCAGTACTGCCTCCTTTATTTCGTTTATAATACCCAGTAATATACGCGAGTGGCACGCTAATTTGCTGGTGAAAATGAACAGAATGTCTTAACGTCAACAAATCCTAATTGGTTTGTTATTTGGGGTATAAATGCTGGTTCTTGGGAATTCACAACGCTAGAAAAATGTGCTTTTTATACATGAACGAGTCTCGGTGTTAGCCACGTAACAACGCCTACTCAAAGAATATTATGAAAACGTTAATAGAAACAACCTATATAGTTTTGCAAATTTAAAATCAAAAGGACGCAAACTATAGACCAATTTAAGTTTGGAACCATCTCACCAAAACAGCGAAACCATAGATAGGGCTTCGAGCAGCTCACGAACCTACATATCTTACGCGGTATATTAGGAGGTACAAGCAGCAAACTAGTTGCGAGGCTATAAGTAAATCACTATATACGCATTCTAACATACACGCTAACGTTCCCCAAGGTTATGTGCACTGTTCATAGTCATCTGTTGTTTCGGGTAATTGACGCTTTGCATGGGATTTTGGGAAGTCGGATGTTCACATTGAGACCACGACGCCATATATTGTCAATTGAACAGACCACCATGTATTGTCATCGAACTGAC